GTGTGAGAAAAGACTGGGCCTTAATTCCTCTAAGAATAATGCATGTCAAAAGACTTGACTAAATATGGAAACTGAACATACTACTTTTTTTCCCCTCTTAGAGGGGTTCAGAGACTTTAACTGTGTGTAGTTTTCTCCAGCTTTTCAGATTGGTGCAAAAAGAATGGTGCTCCAAATAAAACTTAAAATAAGAGCAACTTAATTTCACAATCTATACTTTAAGGCTATTAAGTAGCGTTAGCAGCACTAATGTAGCCTTGAGAGCTCCCTGAAGGCCCATATTCTTAATCAAAACTGAACACAGTAAATTGCATAAGCCTATTCCTTAACTTAGTATGTCTATAAGGAACTTATTAAGGCCAACTACCTGGTTGCTCTGAGTAAGAAGGAGCAAGTTTTGAAGAGCTGTGGTATCTGTTTATCTGTATTAATGCACATACGAATCCAGTGCTCAACAGAGCTGTTTGATACTTGTATTTGTGAATAGGTTATTACTTCTGTTCTGTGTAGCAGTGCATTCCTTAGACTTCCCATTCCAGAAAAGAGTAAACGTTAACTAACAGTGCCTCAGACATACTTCTTGTCAGTCTCAGTGCCTTAATTTCTTCTGAAATGTACTCTGTTCACCTGTTTAAAATCTTTGAACTATTACTTATATAGCCTTGTTTGCTTTGTTTAGGATTTCAAGCATACCAAGTCCTTTGTTATTTAGAAGATTTCAGCCTCTGTGAGGGACATCAAAAGAATACTTGTTATACAAAAATATCAAAGTCTCCTGGTTTCGACTGGGATCTTTTTCTTCCTAGTAGCTGGTACAGTGCTGTGTTTTGGATTTAATGTGAGAATAATGTTGATAACACGCTGATGTTTTTGTTGTTGCTAAATAATGCTTACACAAAATCAAGGACTTCTCCTTGTCTCGTGCTCGGCCAGCGAGGAGGTGCACAGGAAGCTGGGAGGGAGCACAGCAGGACACCTGACCTGAGCTGGCCAAAGGGATATTCCACACTGTACATCATCATGCCCAGTTTATAAACTGGGGCAGTTGGCTGGGAGGGGCTGATCGCTGCTGGGGGATGGGCTGGGCATCGGTCAGTGGGGGGTGAGAAACTGTGTTGTACATCACTTGTCTTTCTTGGGCTTTGCTCCTCTCTCTCCTTTTCATTACAATTGTTATTGTTGTTATGATTATCATTACTATTATTGGTATAATTAAATTTTGTTTCAATTATTAAACTGCTGTTACCTCAACCCGCAATTTTTACTTTTTTTTCCCCAGTTCTCCTCCCCACGAGGGCTGAGGTAGGTGGCAGTGACCGAGTGGCTGCCTGGGGCTGAGTTGGTGGCTGGGGTTAACCCAGGACCGTCCTTTTTGACACCCAGCAGGTGACTCCAAAGGGTTGAGATAATGACAGATCTGACCAGAGTGTGTTAAAACAAATTTGTTTTAAGCGTTCATTGCGTTGGGTTAATAGTTGCTGGTCACCATGTTGATTTGTTTGCTCTGGTCGTGGGCTAAGGTTGTCATTGTGGTGTTCTTTGGCTTGTGATTTGAATGAGTGGCTGGCCGTGAGCCTTGCCAGGTGTGTGTCCTCTCCGCCCCTCGGCAGCCATCTGGTGGAAATTATCCACAATTGCATCGATTGCCCTTTTCCCTCGGAGAGCCAGTCTGCGGAAGAAACATCCTCTTTCCCCTCCAGGATGATTACAGTAATTTTTGAGAAATCTAAAGACTTTCAATATCCTTTGACCACCCTTGAAACCAGCCTGATCTTTTCGCTGGCAACCAGCACATTGTTGCATGTGGTTCAGGTCGTCTTCAGGGATAAGCAACAGTCTGTGGCTACTCAAATCCCGGTGAGAAGTGTTGTGGCTACTCAAAATCCAGCAACACCTATTGTGCCTTCACAAACTTCAGTGACAGGCCAACAAGACCAAGAGGCAGCCACTCAGTCCTTATCCCTGAGTGAGCTGTGGGATATACAGGAAAATTTCAGCTATTATCCTGGTGAGTGCAGGACCACCTGGCTGCTCCAGTGCTGGGATAATTGGGCTAACAGTTTGGAGTTGGAGGGTAGGGAAGCCAAGCAGCTGGGATCACTTTCTAGGGAAGCAGGCATTGTTGAGATGATTGGAAGAGCGACACAAGTCCTCAGCCTCTGGAGGTGACTCCTGTCAAGCGTGAAAGAAAAGTACCCCCACAAGGATGTTCTGCGTTGCTCAGGCAAGTGGACAGCAGTAGAGAAAGGTATTCCAGTACCTGAGGAAATTTCGACCTGAACAACGCAGGGTTTCCCACAGATCCAGACCGAATCCTACACAACCCAAGTGGTAGAAACTTGTAGAAAGCACACACCAATCCACTGGCAACATTCATCTGGAGAGGTTCCACACTACCACTTCTTCAGGGGTGCAAAGACAGCCCCTCTTCCTCTCTCATCGCATCTGTGGAGAAACTGTCAGATCAACCGTCGCAGGAATTCCAGCAGTTCGGAGAGGGCATGTTCTATTCCCCACCTGCACAGACCTACATCTCAGCTAGTAACAGTAAGCATCCACTGGCTCAAGAGGGAGGATATGGAAAGTACACACCATGGGATACCCTGTGCTTTAGCTGAGGGACCTGGTTTTGGAGAGAGGACATGAGGAATTGGGATGGAAGACCTACCTGAACCCTGGAGATATGAATTGCAAGGGAAAACAATCCCAAATGGGAGTTCTTCCAGGAAAGTTGCTGCTCCAGTTTCCAGTGGCCAATTTCCCAGGCAGAGGGGAAGGGATGAATTTACTCTTTATCCTGTGGAAACAAATTCTAATCCGTTTCTTCAAGAACTAAGCTTTCTTAGGCATTGTGGGTTTTCAGAAAATGCATGTTCCAAACTACAGTCTGACTGTAAGCACCTTCTATCAAGTCACTCAGAGAAATGACTTTGCATGGGCCCCAAGCAACACAAAGCCTTTAAACAAATCAAACAAGAAATACTTGGAAAACACTCTTAGACAGGTGGGCCAAAGAATGTGGCATTGAGTGGGTAGATTGTATCCCTTACTGTGCACCAGCCTTCGGGAAGATCAAATGATACAATGGACTGTTCAAGACTACTAACCATGGGTGTGAGGGGACCTTCAAACATTGGGATGTGCATTGGTAAAGGTCACCTGGTGAGTCAGCACCAGAGGGTCTGCCAGTTGGGCTGGCCCTGCCTAACAAAAACTTCTACATATTATAGAAGGGAATAAGGTTCCTGTAGTGCTCATAAAAAATATGCTGGGCAAGACAGTCTGGGTTATTGCTGCCTCGGGCAAAGACAAACCCATCCGTGGGATTGCTTTTGCTCAAGGACCTGGGCACGCTTGTTAAGGCAGAAGGAGTGGAAGCCTGGGTGTGATTTTGGGTGAGAACAGCCCAGTGAACTTAATTGTGTGATGTTAATTGCTATATAACACTGTATTATCACTTCTGTATCAGCTGTGTGCCCACCATTGCCTGGGCACCTCATAGTGCCTGCCTCCACCACTCCGGATTTGGGGACCCGAACCCACGTCCCCTTCAATCGCGACATTAAGAATGAATTTCAATGAAAGCAGACAAGCGCAGCAGTGATGGAATCAGAACCGGCTTAACATGCAACAATCCAACACCACATGCTATCTTTCCTACCCTGAGACAGTTATGACAGATGGAGCCAGAAGTCATGGACTAAATGAACTCAGTGGACTTCTACAGGGATTGTCTGTAGACTAAGGAAATGATATCTGTGTATCTATCAAAAGACAGGAAAGGTGGTGGTGTATTGGAAAGTGTGGGACCTGGCATGATATTAATGGTATGGAATAAGCAGTAGATACTGTCCTGGTTTCAGCTGGGAGTTTTCTTCCTAGTAGCTGGTACAGAGCTGTGGATTCAGTAAAGCAACACACTGACATTTAGTTGTTGCTCAGTAGTGCTTGCCCTGAGTCAAACACTTTTCAGTGTCTGATGCTCTGCCACCAGGCAGGTGCAAAAGCCATGACACCTGACCTGCACTGGCCAAAGAGATATTCCACACCACAGACTGGCATAAAAACTGAGGAAGGTGGCTGGGAGGGGCCAGTTGCTGCTGGGATGGTGATGAGCACCTGTGCTGCGCATCACTTGTGTTTCTCAGGTTTTATATCTCTATTACAATTATTATTACTTTGTTTCAGTTATTTACCTGTTCCCATCCCAACCCATGAGTTTTCTTTCCAATTCCCCTCCCCACGGTAGTGGGAAGAGGTCAGGAAGTGAGCCAGGAGCTGTGGGGTGCTGAGGGTTAAACCACAACACAAAGCGATCCTTTGACCTCTACACAGTAAATATTGTTTCCATGTACTACAAACTGAAAATAGTAAATACTGAAAATACTGCCAATGTTCAGATCCAGTCAACTTAACTGTCTGTGATGGCATTTAAAAAAAAAAAAAAAAAACAACCCCAAAAAACTTAAATTAACTTGTATATTGAATCTCTGTGAAGACTTCTCATTTTGTTCATATTTACATGCAGCAATACAAGATTCACTCTTGCAGCTTGGAACAAATCTTCTCAAATAACTTCCACAGATGCCCTTGCTACCAGAATTGTACTACTTACGTCTCAACCATTGTCAAGGGCTCAATCTTTCCTGCAATTCTGATTTACTAGGACCTTGAAATTGTATTAGATTTGCCAAAGCCATCCATAAGTCTGTAGTTGTGCAGAATTAAACTCAATATCCTGACAGAATAAACCTTCCTGTAATTAAGGCTCAAGCAGTGTTTTATTGTCAATAAAGTGAAGGTCTCTCCCTCTCTCTTGCTGTAGGCTGCATATGTAATTTCACTCTGAAGAAAACATCTCACCACTGAAATGTAGCTCAGCAAAGGAGTTTTGCAGTGAACACTGAGGAACACTACTCAGCTGCCTCAGCCACTCAGAGTTGATGACCACAGCAAACTACACTTGCCATACAGTCAAGAACTTCTTCACACCACTGGAATCAAACTCAAACACTGTATTTATTAAGATACAACAGGTGCCCTGTTCAGCAACACCATGGCTGTACACGGCTGCAGAGATCACTTTGGAGCCTCCTCAAATTTGGGCTCTAGAGGGAGAAAGAGAAGAATCATATTAGTCTCTTTTTATTCGTTCCTCAAACACCACAATTAATTTGTAATTCAAAGAAAATTAACCATTAAGTTGGCAAGCTAAAGCAAGCTCCTGGACATTGCAGTTTACACCCCGTTACTTTGCATCAAGGTCTGACTGATTGTGGGCAGTACTAAAACCAAAACCACGCTGGAGACAGGTCTTTTCCACCTTGCAGGAGTTATCCATAAAGGCTAAGACTTAGTAACATTCTGCCAAAACAGCTTTTAGCAACACCTGGAATGGCGGAGAAGGCAGCAGGGAAACTGGAAAAGTCAACCAGAATATTACTGGACATGACATTTCCAACTCAGGAACAAGAAACCAAGCTTTTCTCTCCTCTTGATTAGTGTTATTACTGTATATTAACAGAAGGGAGTGCAAAATTTCAAATCCACTCTCCACGTGCAAACACTGAGGAAGGAGTTCTTGCTGTCAAAGATACAAACTCAGAAGGGTTAGGGCTCTGGACAGGCAGGCTACTAATGTCTGTTCTTAATACTAGGTCTGAGAGGTAAGGCTTAGGGTCTGTGAAGGGCAGTTAAGATACCCTGACCTGGCTGCAAGTTTTGTTAAGCATAAGGCAGTCCAAATCTCTACTGGAAGAAGAAGAAAATAATTTAAAAAAAGGGTCAGGTGGAATCCGATGTGTATTTTGTGGAAGCAGCAAGATTCCCAGAAGGCATCTTACATTAAATTAATGTTCTAAATAAAGGCAAAATGGAAATTAAGAAAACCCATGAGTTAATATGTCTTTACTTGCAACTGGAATTCAGTAAGATTGATGACTCACCCTCAAATTTAAATTCTGGGAACTTGGTTAGATCTCCCTCACCATACGCCCGCTGGAGTCTTGCAAGGGATTCATTCATTTCTTTCTGAAATTCAGGTCCTGCATCAACAGGCCCTCCAGCTTGCCTAAAAAATCATTAGAAGTTGTGATTAACAACTCAGTTCTAACATTTCCTGTGGAAGTTCTACATTTTTATGCCCATGTATGAATTAAAAATCTTTTCCATAACCAACCAAAGGAAACCATTGAAAGTATTTCAGAAACTCAAGACATGACACACCTTAGGGCCTCCTTACCTTACACATGAATGAGGTTCTCAGGGTAAAGTACAGGCTTTCTGCTATTAAAGGTGAAAATCCAAGATACAGAGGTGGCCTTTTGAGATATAAAACTACACTGAGTATCCAGGCTCTCAGGGGCTTTTAGTTTCAATTGTTCCATGTGTAAATTCCAAAAAAAAACTGCACCTCTGCTGTCTCTCAATTAGTCACTTTGGTTAATAAAGCTTAACTGATCTTGCAAAGAGAACATGTTTTGAATATTAGAGAAGAAAAAAAAAAATAAGTCCACAGCAGGAACTTCTTGGGATACAAATATAAAACAATTAAAATAGTAAGTGTAGATTACCAATGCTCAGTAGCACCAGCACAGGTAACGCTTAGGATGGATAAAACCATCAAAAATCTGCCTCCCTACACAGACTGGTAGTAGGCGTGGAAACACACAACTTCTACCAGTAAAGCTAAGAAGTGACTTATTTCCTTCCCAAGAATGATTCCCAACAGAACATTACTGTAGTTTCCTGTTCAGTAGTTCATTCAAACATTACAGGAATCTAAGATTCCATCTGAATGAGCTTATCAACTGAAGAAGTAAAATGAATTATCCTGATAATTCCATTAATTCTTGATTGTTTTTGGAAACAAGATTGGAGAATAATAGTTTACCCCAGACAAAAGAAATAAAGAAAGGCTTGGTTTTGCTTTTCCCCACCCCCATTTACAGAGCACATAGGTGGGTAAAAATCAGCATACAGGTACATGCCCATAGTGTGCAAGAGGCCCTAACTGGGTGCCTTAACCCCCCAAGAAGAACAACACCAACCTTTTTCTTTTTTAAGGGAAAAAATGT